AACGAGCCAGCACAGGAGTGAGCAAGTATATGGGAGTAAAGAAGCAAGAGGGTAAGAGAAGAGAGAGAGTAATGGCTCCCGGGCCCCTCCTCACCTCTGCCCCCAGAGAGACGTACTATGGGATGAAACACTCCCTTGGTCAGTTGGGGTCAGGTGCCTGAGCTGTGTGTCCCTGCACTGCCTGTAGCCAGACAGCGAGAGCTGGGAACGCAGCTGCAGGGTCAGAAGGGGAGACAGACCTTGAATCTGGTGCAGGCATTGCCCAGCGCCAGCAGAGACCTGATCAGTGCTGCTCTCTGCAGCCAGGAACAGCTTCACAGCAGCCAGGGGAGAGGGAGTGAACTCTTTCCTGGCTGAACCCAGCACAGTCACATAAGGTAGCTTAAATGCAGAAGAGAAATTCAACTCAAAATGCTTAATGACACTTCCATAAAAGGAACTTGCCTGTGAGCCACTGTTTTTATATACCCCTGAATAGAGATTATAATTTAAAATTTAAAGTAATTCGAGATCACATGGGGTTCCAACATACTAGAGGACCTGTATTCACAATAAGAAATTAATGTTCTATCAGCAACTGGCATACTCCGAAAATAAGCTGCATGCTATTTGGATTTAATTACAGTTATAGACTAAGTGTTCAATAAAGTCATAATTTCGCATATCCTAATCACAAGGCCTATCCTGTATTCACCTGGGAAGCATTATGGGAAAATGAGGGAATACATGCCTGAAGTTGAATATTTTATTTTTAGCTCATATATAGGCTTAAAATAAGCTAGTTGTAGCACAACATTCAATTTTTCTCCAACTATATACTTTAGTTGAAGAAGACAGACTTAGGCCTTAAATTACAGGCCATGCTGATTTACAAGTCCCTTAATTAGGGAGACTTGCGTGAAATCTTAGGTGATAAAAGTTTTTATGGAATGTAAGAAAGCATCAGATAAAGCACGAGAAGTACCAGGAGAGTACTTCACAAATATATCATATTAACTTTAACAGACTGAATGATTCCTGCTCATCTCCAAGGATAGATAAGCAAATCACATTAGGCTAATTTTTAACCTCATTAACCACACTTAAAGTGCAACAAAGAGCTACAAAGTTATAAGAGCAAAATTCATTCCTGCAATTGGCATTATTTTTGCTTCATCTTCTTACCATTTGTGACAGAGACAAACCTCTGCATAAATGTCTTGACGCAAAGTTTCTCAAACCTATGATGAGCCAAGCCAGGTAGAAGTGGGGTAATAATGGGTAACTTTAGGCTAAATTGAGAAAACCTATATATCTGCTGATGCGTGTGTTCCTATTTCTATAAGATCTAGAAGAGATCTTAATGAGTATGTCATACATACAGTTTAACATAGATATTTCTTAACTTTTGAGATGGCTTACAATGATTTTTCAGGAAAAAAAGGCAACAAATTCTCTGAACTGTTTTTTTTCTTCCATAAAATAACAGAAACAAAACACTCACACATATACCATTACCTAAAAAAGAAACACCTGCTCTGAAATTTAAAAGATCAGACTACAGCTTATTGCAGTTCCAGGCAACTGCCACTGCCACCATCAGTGGGATTCAAAAAAATAACAGTGTTCATCATGTCCTCCAATTGCAAAGAAGTCAAGTTAGCCTAATCCTTCAAGATCATACGCTGAATACAGCATGCGTGTTTCTAACACACGTACAGACCGAGTGCATCAGAAAACAGAGAGGAATTACATCGGATTGACTTTAAATCGCTGACCTATTTGGGCCTGTAAACTAAGGACCTGAATGGCAACACACTGCACATTCAGTAAGAGAAACAGAAATGCAGAATTTACACCTATGGTACAAAAAAAAACCCCACAAACAAACAAAACCAACCTCGCCTCAAATTATGTCATGCAATTTTTTTCATGCAATAAAAGAAGGGGACTCTAAATTTAAAGCCCTGCCACCTCCATCCAACTTGCTAGAAATTAAAAAATCAGACTGGAACACACCAACCTGCCTACGAGATTGAGGTTTTCAGTATTAAAAGCTCGGTCATGCTCAGTACATAGCTCTTCGGGCTGGTAGCTGAGCATAAACAAGCAGAAGTTCACTTACATTTATTACTACTGGCTCTATTCAAGGGACATTCGGTTTTATTAAATTATTTGTTCAAACAGGACTAAGATTAGCAAAACTAAAGGCTGCCTCCAAGTATGATGTATAGTCTAGCACTGAAAACCATTTCACCTTACTTTAAGGGCTATGGTGCCAATCTGGTCAGAGCACCAGAGAAAGGAGCTAGAGAGTGCAGCCAACCCACAAACACTGTACTTAAAGAATGAAAAAAAAAAACCCAACACACCACAACTCTAGTAAAGCCTCAAATGTAAAGTCACTCACTTTCCTCATTTCCATCTGGAAAACAAACTGCTCAAGGACATAAGGACCAAACCATATAATTTCTGTTGAATTATAAGAGCTGGGGCTTACTTTTTTGGTGTTCTTTCATGTTAACAAAACACAAACATTTTAATTGCAAGCTAGATCACCACACATATCAAGTGTAATCCATGCTGCAAGATCTTCACTAGAAAGAATTGTTTTTGTCTAGTTGTGCCATGAAAAAAGGGGAAGAGTTCTTTTGGAATGTAGTCATGTCACTTTTCAGAAACATACCTCAAGGATTTCTTCATATTTTTTCACAGTTCTTTTTAGATCATCATCTTTTTCAGCAATTTTTTTATGCAACTGTGTTGTTTCTATGTGATGATTTTCTACCAATTCAGTTTCTACCTCCTGGGCTTTACCTATAAAAAAATGTCAGGTGATATTAAAAACAAAGCATATGTATTTTGTTAAATTATGTCACAACAGTATTTAAAAAAAAGCTGGAAGACAACCGTGGAAGACATTCATAAGGAAACCTTGTCAAGAAAATTCGTTTTTCCACACTGGCAGTCATATTATGTCACTCGGTCCTAATACATATGAAGCCTGTAGTGTGGTATCCAGAGGGATTTTTTTCCACCTGATATTGGAACTTTCGGATAGGTTAAGATCACAACCAGTACTTATCAACTGATTTTATCTCCTACTCTATCTAGAGAAGCGATTGAAATATGGGCAAATCTCCAGAAATTCCTCACTTGTAGAGGTACTTCCAGTAACTGTGGAGTCTAAAGATACTTTCTGCTCACCTCTCCAAGCTCCAACTTACACCATGGTGGCAAAAAATGGACAGAGAAGAGTAACTGAAATATGCTGTACTCTGGTTATGGTACAGCAATCGGACATCATACCCAGTTGGAACTTGTTTGTGGTTATAGTGAATGAATTCCACAAGACGCGGCTAAGAAAACACGATTCCGACTCCCAAATGGATCTGTTTCTGCAAAAGGCACCCTTCAGGGCCACATACTCAACAGCAGTGTTAAAGGTTTGTACTGCTGAAGTCAAAGCAATATTACAATGAAAACTTACCAACGTGCTTTCACCTCTAAAACCTTACTCTCCCTTTCTAGTTTTCCCCAAAACATCTGAAGATTTGGTTTTCTGACTATTGTACTGCTTAGTTATATTAGCATTTCACTTACTGATCGCCTCTTTTACTGCTGTTTCCAATTCTCTTTCCTTTTCAGCCAGCTGAGTATTGAACTCTCTCATTAACTGCTTTAAGGTGGAGTTGTGCTTTAACTCAATGTCTTCTTGTTCACATCTGTAGAAAAATGTTGAAAGAATACAGCGAGGAAATAAAAAGATTAAAAACAGTGCAAGAACAGCTCAGCAAGGTAGGAGATCCAGGAATTTCTCCAAAACTACCTTAGAATGGGATGGTTTTGAATTACATGAATTCTGTGGGATTCAGGAAGGCTTTTTGCTATCCTCCTGTTGAATTCACCTGGAAGGCACAGCTGTTTCATTTAGAAAACAATGCAGAATTGAACCCTTCCAAAAGATACATAGTTTTTGGCCGAGGAAGATGAAGACCTCCAAGAATGTGGTGCATAAAAGCAGAATTCTTAGAGAATTCCTTGCCTGAGAAACCATTAGAGTGCTGAGCAGTATGCCACATTTTTCTGCAGTACATAAGAACTATTCTTTTCATCAACTGAACAGGAAGAACTCAGTGCTAAGTTTTAGTAAGCTCTATTTCCTGTTTGAGGAAAACAGAATTATATTTTATCCTCTGGCAATGCTGAAAATGACCATCACTAAAACAACTCAAAAGCAGTATTACTTTGCCAAAAGACAAACTACTTGTTAAACCGTTGATTTAAATAGCGTTTTATGTGTTCATGAAGTGCTACTTTCAAGTAGCTCTTTTCTTCCTGTTTCTTTATTTGGAAAAATACCAGTCATTATTTCATTGTTACAAAATGAGCTTTTAAAAAGTATTCTTGATGTTTTAGTGGTGAAAGCAGCAAAGAAATGGTAGCAAGACCAGAAACAATGCATTTACCTGATTTTCTTCTCCATTTCTTCTAAGGACTCCTTCTTTACTATGTCAAGCTCCTGCTGATGTTCTTTTCGTAGAGCACGTAAGTCTTTTTGAAGATTATTCACTGCTTTGTGTAGTTTCTGTTTCTCCCTTTCAGTCTCTTCCAGCTTAGTCTGCAAGTCCTTCTGCTGGTTCTGCGTATCACCTAGTAACTTCTGCAGCTCCAAAGCAGACTGAGCCTTTTCTTCAGCATTTGCCTCAAAAGCTTTCAGACTGTTACTTCTTTCATCCAATTGTTGCTGTAAACTTTTTAGCTTTTCTTCGTATCTCAAACTCCTATCTTCCATCTCAGCCTTATGCACTTCTTTTTCCTTCACTAGATTATTTTCCAACTCTTTTATTCTCTCTTCTAAAGAGTGAATGTCTGCCTCCTTTTCCTGCCATTTTTTCTGTAAATCTCCAACTACATTCTCCACATCAAGATGTTTTTGCTCTTTCGCTTTTAATTCTTCCCTAGTAGCTGCTAAATCACCACAACAACGAGCATGCTCATCCGCTAACAATGAGTATTTTTTGGTTTGCTCCTCAAGTTCCTTCCTGAGGCTTTCAGTCCTACTCTGCTCCTCCTGATGGCTCTTCTCAACGCATTCCAGTTTTTTAAGGAGTCCTTCCTGTTTGTTTTGCAGTTCTAGACGAGAGCCATTACTCTCCCGTTGTTCCTCTTCATACTTCTGCAACAATTCATCTTTTTCAGCCAAGCTCTTCTCTAGCACGTGCATTTTCTCTTCGTATGTCTGTTGGAGACCCTCGAGCATGGTGTTTTTCTCTTGTTCTACAGCGGCTTTTACACTCTCTACTTTTTGCAGCATTTCTAACTCTGTGGAATCTCTTGTTGACTTAATTTTTTCTTCCAAGGACACAATTTTGGCCTCTCTCTCCTGCACTTTTTGTTCTAAGTCTCTTAACTGATTTTCTCTATCCTGCTTAAATTGCTGTTCCTTTTCCTCTATCTGAGACTTCAACTGCTTTTTAATAGAACTGATTTTCTGCTCTGCCTTCTTTTTCAGATCTGCCAGCTTAGCGCTGTTCTCGGTATTCAGTCTCTCTTCTAATTCCTTCAGTTCTTCCTCTTTGCTTTTCAGTATGGAGGTCTTAATTTCACCAAATTCCCGCTCCTTTGCTTCAAATTCAGCTTTCAGCGTACCTATTTGCTTTTCAAGACTACGCACTTTTTCTTCAGCCTCCTTGAATCTATTGTCCTTTTCAAAAGCTGCCTTCTCTGCCTGCTGGAGTTGACAAGCTATCTCTTTTTGCTCTCTGTCTTTTTGTTCATTGTACTTTTTAAGTTCTTCCATCAAGGAATCATTTTCCGCAGTTTTCTGAGCAATGTGTTCTTCCAGTTCAGCAATTGTTGCTGCTTGGGTTTTTAACTCTGCAGTTAGCTCACTCTCTTGCTTTTCCTTCCCGTTTTGCTTTTGTTCCAATTCAGTTTTTAAACTATCAAGATTTTTGCTTTGTTTAGCCAGCTGCTCCTTCAGTTCGTTTAGCTCTTCATCTTTTTTACTGGCTTCAGTACTGCTTAATTCAAGTTTGCTCTGCAAATCTTTAATAGCATCATGATTTTGTGTAAACCTGGTTTGTGCTTTCACCTTCCACTCCGACAGCTTGGCCGTGCAATGATCTACCTGCTGAAGAGCGGATTCTTTTTCTTGACTCAGGATCTCAACCCTGGACGATAACTCCTGTACCTGGTTTAACAATTGCACCCGATCCTCCTGATGTTGCTTGTTTAACAGAGACACGGCTGCTTCCTTCTCTGTTACGCTTATCGTGCTTTCAAGTCTAACGTTAAGGTCACTGACTGTCTTGTTAAGAGCAGAGATCTCAGATTCTTTTTCCAGGAGTTCCTCCCTCATTGAGGTGACAGCGTTGATATTTTCAGATAACTCTTTCCTCAGCTGTGTTATGCACGTTTCTTTTTCTGATGCTGCTTGCTGCTGATGCCCTCCTTCCTTCTGCAACTGTTCCTTCTCTGTTACAAGGCCCTCAATGTCAGCTCTCATGGACACAATTAAATTGTCCTTCTCTTGCAGCTGTTGCATTGACTTCTGCAAAGAAGTACTTGCAGCAGAATGATGCTCTGTTACTTCTCTAAGCTGAGCTTCTAGTTGAGGAATCCTACTCCTTTGCACTAACACAGCTTCTTTAACTTTTGCAGTGTGGCGCTGGCAATCGGCAATTTTGCATGTCACTAACCCAATTTTTTCATTACATCTTTCAATTAATTCATTGCTTTTTGTTTGCCATAAAGCCTCAGCATTCTTCCAATAAGCCTCTAACTGGGCTGCAAGTTCTCCTGAGCGCCTTTTAAACTCAGCTTCTTTTAGCTGAATCACCTCTATTTTTTTCTCGTAATTTTCACTGTCTTTATCCTGAGAGGACTGCACAGTTTGGAGTTTCTCCTCAAGTGTTTTCAGTGTATCAGTCAGCTCAGTAATTTTGGCTTTGTCCTCATCTTCAACTGCTTTCTGTTTGCTGACCAGTTCCTGAAGTCCCGATTGCTCCTTCAGGGAATGATTAAGGTCACTTTCCAAATTTTTCAACTGTCTTTTCAGGTTACTTTCCTTATCTGACAAAGCATTCACCTGAGCCACTGACTGCCTTAGTTGTTCTTGCAGTTCCTTCAGGGACTCTTCCCCCTTCACCTGTTCTTCCTTCAGTCGGGTTATTTCTGTCCTGGAGCCCTCCTTCTCAGCACTGAAGGAGGCAAGTTTCTGCCTCAGGGCTCCAACTTCCTGCTCCTTCTCCTGCAGTTCCATTTCACGTTTTTCCTGGAGTTCTTCAACCTGCTGATTGAGTTTCTCTTCCCAACTCCGGGCAATTTCTTCCAACTCCCTCCTGTGAGCCTCAGCAAGACTCTCTAGTTGCTCCTTGTGATAAGATTCCAGTTTTGACATGGCATCATTGATTCTGGCTGAACTGGCATGTGACATTTCCAACATTTTAGCATTGAATTCGCTCTCTTTCTGGCTGAACTCCAACTGCTTGTTTTCAAGCTCTTTTTTTAGTTTAGCTTCCTGCTCAGCAAGTTTTTTTTTAAAAGTTTCCTGCATATCTTTTGATTTCTGTTTCATTTTCTCCATCTTGTTCTCCTGTTGTTTCAGTTTACTTTCATATTCTCCTTGTAAAGCACTCATTCTCCCCTCTGCGGCTAACAGTTTCTGTTGATCCTCCTCCACCTGCTGGTTCTGTAACCTCTTCATGTGTTCAATTTCATTTTCCTTCTCTCGTACCTGAGAGATGTATGCCTCTAACTCAATTTTCACTTCATTCAGCTGGGATTTGGTTCTTTCTAGCTGCTCACTACACTGCAATTTTTCACCTTCAAGACCTGTCAGCTTTTGCTGCAGCTTTGCTAATTCCTCTTCATAAACCTTTGCCTGCCCATCAGAAGTATCCCGATGAGATTCTGAGAGCTCCTCTAGCTTTGCAGACACTTGGACAAGTTCAGCTTCAGATCTTTCTGCAGATTCCTTTAGTTTCTGTTCATGTGCTTTTAGTTCCTCCAGATGTCTGTCCTTCTCCTCCAATGATTGCTTGAGTTTGCTGAGTTCCTCTTTGAGTACCCTCTCAACACCCTGAATCGACAGTTTGTGCTCTTTTAACATCATTTCAACCTCTTCATTGTGCCGTTTCCTCTCTTCCTCCAACTTTCCCTCCAATTCTTGCTTTGCTTCACACACTTTACTATTCAATTGTGCGAGCTCTTCTTCTAAATCATGACGTATCTTTAGAGCTTCCGATAGCTCAGAAGACAAGGCTTCTAATTCTGTTTGTTTCACATCAAGTTTTTCTAAGGTTTTTTCGTTCATCTCTTCTATGTGTGCACGGAAAACTGTTTCTTTCTCTTTCAAAATTGTATTTATCTCTTGTTCTTGTTTCTCTCTCATTTTTTCTATTTCAGTTTCTTGATGTTGCTTTAAGGTTTGAAGTTTTTCTGCCCAAAGCTCTTCCTGCTGCTGTTTCATGTTCTCCAATTCTTTCTTGTGCTTTTCAACAATATCACTGATTTCCTTATTGTGCTGCTTCTTTTCAGACTCCATCAGAGTACTTAATTCCTCTGACTGGTTTCGGTCACCTTGCGAATACTTTGCAAGAGAGCTTTCCAGTTCAAGAATCCTCTGTTAAGAGAACACAGTTTTAAAAGAATATGAAGATTCAAAAAGGTAACAAGTTGGTTAAATTTTTTAAAATCTTACCCAGTTCACATAACTACAAGTCACTTATTCCATTATTTTTAGTGAATAGCAACTTTTTATATAAGCCTTTCATTCATCTAGTTTGTTCTCAACTTTGCTTCGATTATGGTGTGTCAGTTATTTAACAAAATTTTTTTCCTACTTCACTGCAGTGAAAATAGATACAAGAAACACTTGGAAAGAATTTAACTAATTCAAATAAAATAATTCACACGATACTTATGAGAGATATGTTCACAATTTCATATTAAGCTAAAATACCAATACACAGGGTGAAAGGTACCTTGAGTCAGCATGAGTATTAAGGAACTTTGTACGTATCTACTGACTTAGCTTAATTCCACTTCTCCTGGAAACACTGCTGTAAAGTCAAAACGCGTCTATAAGCACAACTTCCAAGGTAATATTTGGGAGTGGTGGAATAATGTATAAACTTGCATTAGCAGATAATATGATCTTACCCATTACATAAAGGAAAAAGGACACTATGAAAACTGAAACCATTTTTTTACTTACTCAAGAATCCTTGTAAGTATTTGTATGGTAGCAGTACCCAAAAGTTCAATAGTTTAAAGTTTAACTCTCCTATATAACATACATAAAAAGTATGTAGATGGATAAAAATTCATATCCCATGCCATGATAGAAAGTGAATATATTTCCATATTTTGCAAACTAATCTTGTGAAAAACCAGGGGCTGCAGCATACCATGTGT